TCTGTGCTGAAACCAAAATGCATGAGAGAAGACGTTAATTTGGGGCAAGAAAAGAGTGTGGCCAAGACTGTCTTTACAATTTTGCAAAAATTATATTTTATTGAAAATAGCTTAGGCTCTGTCTCAGTGAATGCACTCAAGTCCCCTTAACTAAGCCTAAATCCATCTTTCTACACACTATTAATCTTTTATTCTTGGCTCTTAATAAAGACAGAGTTATAATCCTCTATAAAGCTATAAGTGCTGTATAAATATATAGCTTTATATTATAGCTATATGATTTTTAAAAGATTTAAAACCAAACCTGACTGTAGATACTTCTGCCTACTAAAGATATGGAAGGGGTACATAAATCACACTAACAAGGGGGAAAGTATGTCTATCCTGGTTTCTCTCCCTTACCATGAAGGAAGCCTGAAGACTCAAATATCCAAGCTTTTACAGGTACTTTTATCAGTGAAATACAGGAGAGATGACACTTTTCCAGCAAACAGCTCAATTTTATTGTTGTTTGTTTGCTTGTTTTGTTTTAATCAGCTCTTGAAAGTAAATCTAGAAAAGAGTAAAGCGATAGAAACTGAACTATTTTGAAAAAATTATCATAAATTAAGATGTGACTGCATCTTGATAAGACACGGCTTTGCCGGGCAGAAGATGGATTTCACTAGGAAATTCCATCAATTCCCGGTGGCAGAGTGACAATAGAGCTTTTAAGAAAGGAACTGTTGAATCTCGAATTTTACAATATTTTCAATATCTTCGATGTGCAAATGCCTCTAAGTAAAGTATATTACCATTTAAGTGCCTTGTGTACGTGGTTTGAAGGGAAAAGAAGAAAAAGAAAGTTACTGTATATGCTCAAGTATAAGCGAACATGAATATCAGTCGAGGCACCTAATTTTAACACAAAAACTGAATTTAAAAAGTGCTGAAAAACTCAACTTATATATGAGTATATACGGTATGCTACTTATTTGAGTTAATAGCAAGAAACTGGCAAATAAGAAGTCACAGTGAGGTGGAATATTTGTGCAGGTGTAAGCTCCCAGTAAGGATCATGATGCCTTATCGATCAATGTCTAGCTGTTGATCCTAATATGGAGCAGATATCCAATAAATGCATGCTATCTGAATTGATGAATTCTGCCATCAGTGACAAACACCAAACACAGCAAGGTCAGAACAAGGGAAGAAAGTGTTTAACTGCCTGGAGGCTTTAGGGAAACACTTCTGAAGAATGTGAATTGAATGAGATGCTGTTGATCAAATTTGAGCAAATTCTTGAGGCCACTAGAAAAAATAAATAAAAAGATAAACTTCAGGACAAGTGCTTTGCAGTTGGGACAGCAGACAGAAACACAGAGGTATAAAATAGCCTGGTGTGCTTGGGGATCTGCAGGTCGTTAGATGTGGCTAAATCCAGAGTGCTGAATATCTAGGGATTGCTGGGGGGTGGAGGGAGGTGCACTGCTGGTGAATCAATTCAGACACATAGCCACCTTATGCAGGGATTCCGTCCCTGTAAATCTTTCCCAGAGTAGAGCACACTTTACCTTGTCTGCCTCAAAGAAGGGATTGACTTAAACTACCAACCTTGTTGTGAGTCATCCAATGCTTAGTGGACATGGCCAGCAGGACTCCTTATGGGAGCCGGGTGAGAAGCTTAAAAGGCAAGCAGAAGCCCAGTCTGAACAGACTTTGTGTGATGTGCCACGCTTTACAGTTTGGACATTTTCTTACAGAGATTACTTTATATGTCTGCAAAGAATAAAACTATCATCTCTTTGGTTCAGGACACCAAATTTTAGGAATCCAAATTACTAAAGGAT